ATGTTGAGCTTCCAACGGCCTTTCCGTTTTGGGAGGGCCAGCGCTACTACTCGCGGGTAGTCAGTACCATTTATCTAGTCTTAGTCTACAAGAACCATTTTTGACAACAATGATATCCTGTTGAAAGATGTTGTCTACTTAGCCACTGGTTTGGCTACTTTAGAAAATGGTTAGAAGTATATGTTGGTAATATTCTGCAGCAGGATTTGACCGTAATCTCTGATATGAAGACGGAAGACTATGGAAAGACAATGCATATAGATCTTCCTTTGATGCCTACAGAATTCTGTACGGTCTATACACACAGCGGTTCTAGCTGCAGAGCTTCGCTATGATGTCTGTGTCAAAGATAAACGAGACAAAAAGAATAAAAAGAAACAGGAAAGTGAAAAACTGTTAAATGTTTATAAACATCTTGTATTTTGAAACATAAGCTCGTAAATAAATTGTCATTGACATATCCTAAATGGGTATTGTTTCATCTGGTAAAAATGATGGTAACGTAGTGCTTCCAGTTCCTATTATCTTGTATTCTGCTATATCTCGTCGGTTATACCAATCTATGACGGGATTTCTAACAGAATTTCACTGCCGAATGATAATCTGTGCCCCAGCACCTTCATCTAGCTCCTGAAATGGACAAAGGAAAAAACAAACAATATACGAATTCAGTCTGAAATCTTTAGCACATCAAATTAAATTCAATCGCGTGTCTTCGTTCAATCATTTAACTTCTATATTTAAATATACAGCCAAACAAAAAATAGCCCAGCTCTATAAAAGACACAAACCAGGACAAAAGATACAAAAACGGAAGATCAACTGCCATACCAAGGTCAGTCACCAGGAGGCCCAAATTTACTTTAACCTTTGTCTTCCGAAGACCTATCCACTTCGCAATTCATAATTTCTTAAGTTATGCTGACCACAAGTATGCGGAAACACAGACCGACCGACCGACACACACACACGCACACACACACACACACACACACACACACACACACACACACACACACACACACACACACACACACACACACAGACCAAAAACAATACCTACATTTTTATGTAGGTAAAAAATCATATCTTACCTGTGCAGTCTGCACCATCACACAGAAGGGACAGAAGAAAGTCAGCAAACAGTCGTTCAGGAACGTCCCCTGAAATGGAGGAGTCAAAGGCAAAAATATAACGATCCTAATGTTCCTGCTGAATTGCTGATGATCACACAGGCACAACCTAACACTAGTAAACGCTAACACTAACACTAAAACTAACACTTATTAGTACATTTGCACTGCCACTATTACATATAAACACTAACACTAGCCTTAGCACGAAATACTTACTAATACTAACACCACACGTTACTAACCTCTATGGCGTGGATATGTCGAGTTTCCTCCCTTGTCCTGGATACTATGAAGACACCGGGGATCAGGAACAGGGACAGGAACCCGCACATACAGCAGCTGCCCAGACCCACCTAACCATGGAAGGTAAACATCAAACAAGGATGTTATATTGAGTAAAGAAGCATATTAAGGAGTTCCCTGTAACCACGTATGTGTAGATATGTAAATATTGTACGTTTGGGAATGCATCTATAGCAGCGACACCTGTGCTGCAATGCAATGTGAACCAGTCAGAATTGCCATGAGGAAGGTGACAGTGAAAAGTGCAAATTGAACTAGTAGAAAACACGCCGTGTGTGTAATACATTAACAATGGGTGCATATCGTTTCATTTACCTGGATATTAGAGCTCTTACCTTTTCAGCATTCTGTCCGACTAAGACACACGGAAGGAAATACCCGATGATACAGATGCCACAGTTGTCAAAACACCCCAAAAGGCCATGTCTAAAGTCCGCCATCTTGTTCCTCCTTGACTAATGTAAACATAAACGTAATTATGTAGTATAGCTAGGTATTTGCAGACTTCATGACTGTTTTGATGAACTTGAGGTATACTTAGGTTGACACAATTCTACTATTTTGGACTGTCCCTATCTTAATTTCACAAATATGCAAATATTTGACGAAAATCGTCAATATAGAGAATAAGTTCACATATTTTAAATTTCTTCGGAATTGTTTTAAAGAAATGATAAAAAGTCGATTATTCGTCGATCGATTCGGTAATGAAGATTAAGAGGCAAAGGATAGGCTCAAGCGGAAATCCACACACGTATATAAATCAGCTCTTTATGCTGTTGCGATGTTTAGAAGTTGATACTAAATGGATTACAGCCAATAAATTTTACATGTCCTTGATGATGTTTAGTGAAATTCTAACCACATTGAGAATAATAACAGCAAGTTGTGCCTTTTGCTTGGCTGTCGTACTAACCTTATGTATGTCAGTTTCTTCCGTTCACCAGAAGCAAGTCACATTCAAGAGTGAACTTTGGGGGCGTATGGAGGCCTTGTGACTTGAAGAGGTCAATGTACGGCCCATGTAAACAAAGGAGAGGCTAGAACAGCAGACGTGTTCAATATAAGGTTCAGTGTTACTTCTTCAAGCTTAACTTTCTACCAGACTGAGTCTAAATGTTATTTTCTATCAGTTTACATCTGCAACAGAGAAAGCCACGATACAGAAAAATCTGAAAGCGGTTGCAGAACACGAAACGGGAAGGAAGGAAATTGTTAGGAAAGAAGAAGTTCGTATTTTCGTAGCTGTGTGAACCCATCAGCACATGGCTGGTGACGTGGTTTATGGATTACTAGCGTCTGGTCAAAGGTAGCTGTGCAGGCGAACTATGTAAGGTCACATGGTTGAGAGGTATAAACTTTTAATGCTTATCAAAGAAAGACATATTGTTACCTCCGGGGAGGGATGTATCCCTCCGCGGCAGTCCCAAAACAGCAGAAGACGTGGCGTCTCGGATTAAATATTTACACCGGTTGCCATTTTGGATGCCGCGCGCCAACAGGCGGGGGGTTACGCACCCAGAAAAACAATCAATAAATTTAAAGAACAGCCCTAAAATTCACCCAAAAATCTGCAACATACATTACAATACCCGGAGGTACAAACTCTACGATTTTCCTTGTTTTTTTTTCTTCTTCTTCTTCTCCAAACCAATAAGGTCAATGACCTGAACCAGACGTCTGGCATCATGGTAACTAGAGTTGGGTTACCTGTTGATGTTTCTGCACGGATATTGTCAAGAAATGTATTTCCGAAGTACTGCTATGCGAGACTGTGCAGCGAATGTGGAATATACTATGTGACACGGTTTGATATCCTGTCGACTACGTGAGGTACTGCAGCACCGGGGCAAACTGGACATCCCTTGTAGTTGATATTGAAAAAATTGTGTCAATAATCTTGTACAAGGATGCTCTTCAGTTTTTGATAGTGCTTTGGTCCACATTTCGACTTTCTACAAAATATCTTTGTCAAAATAAATCCCATGTAGCATTAAGAACACTTTGCCACCAAGCCATGGTTTCTGGGAGTGTCATCTGTTGATGTTCCAGCGTTGAAGTTGAATCTTGAAAATAAGTGACAACAGGAGTTCGTATATAACCGTGGCAGACAAATACACACCTGCATCGCAGGCACAAACATCGGGCGCGGCGTCGCAGGTGTTCGCGCAGTACATGTCGGCCATGAGTTGGCCACGTAGGCGAGTACAGGTTGTACACATCTGTGGAACCATGTGACCGGTAGTTAGTATCGAACTATTTGCCATGTTTAAGGTAAGTACGTAGGAAGGGTTAGGTTCACACGCCCTTCCCTCCTACGCAAACCACCCCCGCAAGGATTAGGTAGACTGATAATGGCCTCCGTGTTCTGGGTACAAAATCTCACGGATAAATTCTCCGTTGCATCGGATATCATGACCCTGTACCGTTATGTCGTTGAACCACTTGAACATCTAAACATAGTGTATCCGGAGAAAATATCTAAGCCAATGTGGCATTGTTAGAGAGAATGCCTCATTCAGGATCATTGCATCATTTAGATGACTTACGTCAAAATCAATCAATGTACAGCCCGTTTTTTTTTAAATCTTTCTATAGTTGCATAATTTTTATATAGGTATGATATTGTACAGCATTTCATTAACATACAACATACGCCAAACACAGCTTCTTGTCATGTTGTTTATTCAGCATATCCTGGGTATCACAAATACAATCAGAAAACAGGACACAAAGGACCTTCAAAGGTTCTCTAAATGTTCTAATTATTAAAATAAGCATGGTCTTACTTCAGGCTACACCTTTTCAAGGAAGCGCTATAAAATCTCCTTGGTCTAGCAATCTTAAAAGACTGACATTCGGGACAGAAAGGAACCCAAAAGTCACCAAATGCCGTTGCCAAAATGTCGTCAGGTTTTAGTGAAAAAATTGTCGTGAACATTATGAAGCCAATTAACAAAACGCTTTAAATGTAAAGAGAGACGCTTAATGTCAATTTGGTATTACGCTAGCGCTGTTTGATGTATTGATTACTGGTAGAATTGAAAACGAAAGAAGTAAAAAAAAATCAAATCCTGGCATATTAAAAAAAACAGGATGCCATGTGCTTTTTTTAATACTAGCTGCACACATTCACTGCCACAAGCAAAGATGTAGTGAAGGTCAGATGCAGAGGTCACCATTGACTCTCTGTGTAACCCGGATGTGGTCGCTACTCTCTCGCAATGGATTGTGGGCTACCCTCTGTCAATTCCAGTTCCTGTATAAGAAATACACGATTTAAGACAAAAGAACTTCTATCTTTAACTTAAGTCTTAAGACTTCAGATATCTGTCTTTCCATCTTGACAGATGAATCTGAGATAAACAAGCAAACAAACAAACAACCAAACAAACCTGTGCCGTCTGGACGACCACACAGAAGGGGCAGATCAAGGTCATCAGTAGGTCACCGCAGAGAGAACCCTGGGAAGGTTGAGAAAGAGGTGAGATATACCAAGGAGGTTAGATACAATTTAACTGATTTTAACATTTTTGATTTTACCATGGATATACATACAGCAAAAAATGTCAAGACTATCAAATTACTGGCTGATTTCTAGCAAATTTTACTTAACAGCCCTAAAGAAGTAAATTTTCTTAAATGTAGGTGGGCGTTTCTCCTGCTGGTGAACTAATACCAAGTACTTAAAACTCCAAACAGTTCATACGGTGGCAAGTCAGTATATACTGGCCAGAGGAGTGTCTATACTAACACTAACATTAGCTGATCATTCATTAGCGTATGATCTGCTTGGAGATTGCTGATTGAGTCCTGGGTTGCGCGATAAGATTTGGAATATTTACGGTGTTACGGTTGGAGGCCCTAATACTAGTACCTCTTACCCCCCCCCCCCTCACCATCATAGACTGGTAATCCTTGCAAACTGTACAGTATAAATATCAATAATGTACATAATACATACATAATACAGAGTACAAATAAGAAACAAGTATGAATAATGTTTGGAAAATCAGACTTACGTCTATGCCCCTTAACCCACGTGTCTCCTCTCTAGTCTTCGCCACCACATACCAGCCGACACAGCCAAGCATGGACATGACTCCGCAGTACAGACAGGAGCCCATGCCGGCCTGAAATAAAGGGATAGCCGGTTAGGGTCTCTTTGCAATTGATACAGAATTTGTATGACTTTGATAATAGATTAAGTATGATATTGTATGACGTTTATAATGGATTTTTAATGATTTTGTATGACTTTTATGATGAATATGAATCAATAAGTTGAATATGACTCAAAAGACAACACACACACACAAACACACCACTTATTATATTTAAAATTTGTTGAAAGTAGTCTTTATTTGCTCAATGATGGAAATGGGGTATTTAAAAAATTGTATGGCCGTTTTAGGAAAAAAAAACATAAAAAAACAATCAAACACACACAGGTAAAAAACAAACTGAGAAACAAATAACTGCGTTGTGACATTCATATGTCGCTTCTTGTTAAACTATTCACTCAAAACCCATATATACAAACGTCATTAGAAGCGTCTATTTGCTGCAAACAAGCAATATATTTGCCTATTCCTCTAATTGTTACTTATTAATTTGGACAAATATGTGCTTTACCAACTCGACATATCAAGCCACACCTATCATACGTAATGGATTGGACAATTTTTCGCCATAATTTTTCATGCAACGAGAAACGTTAAGAAGAATTCGTATATCAATTACTGCTTCAATATGCCAAATTGTACAAAAACATTATAATAATGATAGTAAAAAACATAATTTACCGTTCAAAAAGTTTTAGGAACTCATATTTGCTTCAATTAATTTAACTTAGTAATAGCCAAACTTGGGTTTGCTGTTTACACGAATACATAAAGAGAAAAAAAATTCTTTTCTCTCGCTTCTGGCAGAAAAATTTCTGCACATTTTTGATTGATATTTTTGCATATATAACATAACGTATTTAAACCAAGAACATGGAGTAATAAATTCAAGAGAATTGCTCAAGGCATACGCCGTTATGGGAAGGGCAGGTTGTTCTAAATTTTAGCGTCGTCAAGCACATCGAAAAAAAAACCCTAACTTACCTTCTCTGCATTTCTCCCAGCTGTTACGCACGGCAGAAAGTACGAAATGATGCAGACTCCAAAGTTATTGAAGCAGCCACAAATTCCGTAGGTCCAGTCACCCATTTTGGCCTCGTAGTTTTTTTTTCCTTCCGTCTTCTCCAATTGAGGAACTTCCACGCAACTGACGCTTATTCGTTCGTATCAAGCAAAAGACTGTTGGTTGCTATTTAAACAGCCGAACATAAAACGATTTGTTGCTATTGACATGGTGAGTACGTGAAAGATAACACAGATTCCTCAATCTTTGTGCCAAGCAGTATAAGCAGATTGCGAGATTAAAGTTGAATAAGACAAAAGCCTCCGTGGGCGTATTAGTTAATAAGTGTTGGATAGGGAAGAGTAAGTGACAACAGTCCAGAGCAGGATATTGGGCGTGTCATATCAATAGATGAAAGACGGTAGATTAAATTTGCGACAAACACCAAGTCACGTAATTTTACGTAGCTTAGTACAACAGAAGTATTGTAGTTACACATTGACTCGGCATTTATTAGACACTCCCTTTGTGAGACATACTGGTACTTTTGTCGCCGACATACTAGTACTTAGCATTCAACCAATACAGCTTCCAGCCAATCAAGGAATCCCGAAATGTGGTCAAGTTTGGGAAACAAGGACCTCCGGCTTGTTTATTTATTCCCATATTTCTCCGGTAAATTCTGTCGAGATCGTCACTATTTTTAGGCCGAGCGGCCTGGACGTCATGACTTTGTCACTTGCCAGAGAACTTGCCAGAGTATTTATTCAAGATCGGAACGCCATCGTTGTTCCGAACGCCATCATGTAAATATGCAACCGTCGTCGCTATAATGGTGGTACACTTACTGAGCTTATTTCCGCTAATACTATATAGGTCGGGTCAATCTTAATTTAAAAAAAAACGTTAGTTGGGTCATCGGGTTCTATGACCGTTGGGGTCGTCAGATCGTGTGACCTCTGACCTTTTTTGACATGATGCGGCGGGAAACTCAAGTCTGCTTTTCCATTGCGGTAATATTTTATTTTCTACACAATTACAATCATATATATTACTAAATATTTTTGATGAGCGGTAGAAAGAAGTTTATGTAAACGAGTTGATCACAGCCATCAAGTCGTTTCAAACCATTACACGAGGCTTTCAACAGAAAAACTGGTTAGAGCTTGGGGGGAGGGGGGGCATCTCGAGGGAAAATTCTCTTTTCTGTTCTTCTTTCTGAGTTTAAAGTATAAGCATTAAAGTTTCACCATAAATACTGTTGTCTATATAACATGATGTTGTTCTTGTCAAACAATGTGACATATTGAGCCCCTCGGTAAGCTTGTTTGTACTGTTGTATGCAATGTATGCAATATGCAATTATACTGTCATATGCAATATGCAACGTATACAGCTGTACAATTATTTGGTATGAAGTTTTATTTAATGATACGTTTAACATGTACGTGCCATGCTATTTCCATGCTATGACTTTTGTGTGTAACTTTCAATGTCTTCAATGAATATAGATTGGATACCCCATGTGCAATACTAAAGCTCCACCTAGCGAGAATGTCGGGTAGTGTAAAAAAAGCAAGTCAGGACTAGGAAAGATGCAATACTACCAAATATCGACAGAGCTCATATTTTAAATTATTCAACTCATCTTTGCTATATTTATAGCTTCCAACTACCACAATTCTAATCGTAGTGTGGTTTATTGGCTTCTTTCTGTGTTTTATTCTTTGATTTCTATTTATGCCTCAATTGTGGTAAAAAAAACTGTTGTACGATTGTAAACTTGCGATGCACTGTGAAGACTGTATGGACCATTTTCGGGCGCGAATATAATTTGACGACTTTGACGCTGACCCTGTTTTCACCACGCTCTGACGCAGCTAGCCGCTCCTAATGGGCCAGTTGATGTATGCTCCACGCAGAGAGCCATTAAGCCGAGAAGCATTTAGTCTGTGTGATAAACCCTCATGTCAGGACACTAGAGAAAACGTATGCCTCTTCCCCTGCCTTCAAAAATGCGAGTTGAGATGAGACTTGATGCCTATCACACCGTTCTTGTCGAGACGTTCCTAGCGGTTTAGTAACATCACTTATCACAGACTTACCAGGAAAGTGCAGTGAATCACGAGTTGTGAATCACGGGCTTAGTTCAGTCTATCCCTGGGGAATGTGTGTTTTCCCCCCATGTAAAGGAATGGTCATATTTACAACGGTAAGATGTTGTATTGAGCAGGTTTCAAACCTGATTCAGGAATGCATTTGTCAATGTTAGCTCTTAAGATAGTAGGCCTAGGGTGTGTAAATGCTAGCCATTGATCAATGTCCATCTTTATAAAGAAAGGGGTGAAAGGACCACATATATGTGTGTTCAGTGGGAGAAATCTTTAATGATTGTTTTCCTTGTTTGAAATCCGCATGATGTGTCGCACACATACATACATGCGAAACAATGTGAATTTGTGCTGTGGGTAGGTAACTGTGTTAACGTCGACTCTCAAAGAAGAAAAACAGGCTTGCCCGTCTTAGATATATGCCCTCTTGTCTTAAACCTCGTAATCTTCACGAGGGTGTGCGCGGTGGGTCGTCTAGGGACAGACGTCGTTTGCATGACAAATATTGCTGCCTAGCCTCCACCAGGCCTTCCTACAGATGGTAAAATGAAAAGTGATAAAATGAAAAAAAAATTATTCCTCTTAGTTAATTCCCAATTTGTCTGTTTGCTGGTGTTTTTATGTTTACCGAAGGGAAACATATTATTTTTGCTACGTTTCTTTTTCTTCCTCAAACAATGATCTCAATAACCTGAACCAGACTGTCTGTTACCATGGTAACTAGTGTTGGGTTACATGATGTTGCAATTTTATAGCATGAGGGATTTAGACTCCTGTCACCATATATATGAATATGTGTTTGAGTAAGAATTAACAGAGCAGACCATATGCGAAGGTAAACATTATGCATTTGCTTTCTAAATTAATGATACCTTTCTAGCGTTTGAATTGAATTGATAACAATAGAATAGGATTGCGATATATTACGTGAGAAGTAAACACACTACTCCGACGAAGGATTTGGACGCATTTTACGTCCGGTAATCTGGTAATGTGTTCTGCTATCAACAGATCTACAGTGGGCTCATACTGTAGATCACGCATGCGCGTTCATGGCGTAGGTCGGCAAGGTCAAAGCACTAAATGGGATCACGTGACCTCTGTGATACACGAAGTAAACAGAACATTAGGCCATGTTGATTTCATTATATGGATGACATCCGCGCGCGCATAAACTTTCGTCCGTTTCCAAAAAAAAAAAAACGTTTTCAACCGTACTATAAATCGTACAAGCAGCTAAATGAGCTGACACACCCAGTTGAAAGTCTGTGCCATGGAAACATTTTTGTCATGCAAAACATTTTTTGGCATTTACAGCTAAATTTCATACATTGAATTTCAGACATGAAATGTTCTCGATATATACACTTGTCACAAAAGAAATGGAATTCAGGGACGGCAATTGATTTAAAAATGTCTATAACAGTGCACAAGTCGAGCTGTAGGCATCAACATAGACAAATGCTGATCATTTGAGTTTTACATTATGAGTCAAGGCCGTTCTTTACGGTGATATGATCTATTTTCCTAACTCATGCTCCCTAAGTATCGGTTCTAGAGCTAAGCTATCCAGGTTATTTGAGGTAAAAAGCTCCATGGATTTTTATACGCAGCATGGTACAGTCATGAGGTGGACGTAGTTATGTCGGCATTGATATATATATATTGATGCTGCGGCGACTCCACTGGAGGCTAAAAGCATGGAATGGTGAGTCACAGCTTTCCACTGCGGGTGGAAGTTAGGCCACAGCAAGTAATGTATATGGATGACATCAGCGCGTGCATTGATTTTCACCTGTTAAAAAAAACCCTCCGAGGAGGCTAATGCCTGGGTGCCATCTTCGGTAATCTACTGTGACTACCGACAATAGGGAGCCGGCGGTAACTACGGAGGACGGCACCCAGGCTATCGAGGCTCCACAGAACTCTAGAACACTGTACGGTGCACCGGTGCCGACTGATAAATGCTGATAAAGGCCAGCATGTACCTCTTTGTTGTAAACGTAGCAATGTACCATGTACAACCGCTAATTCACAATAACAGCTTTGTATTCCTGTGGTTTATCAGCATGTTTCTGGCTGGCTTTTTTTTTTATTCGCCGGCTCGCATTAGTTTTGGGGTGTACAGAAGATCATCCATAGGCATAAAATTAAGTCAGCGTGGCCTTATGATTCACACAGGCATAACATACAGTACATCGGCGAATGATGTAAAAAAAAGAGGTCAAAGAGTCGTGTTTTTCGACGCTGTGCCTGTCTTTCCCTGCATTGTTGTTGATATGTCTCTCAGCCTTATTCACGAACACTCATGTTTCACCCTTACTTACACTGCCCTCTATTACTATGTTACCCTAACACTAACATTTTAGTTCTATGTCTCTCTCACACAGTGTGTCTCTGATTCATTCTCATACAGTATCCTTACCTCTCCATCACACCATGTCTCTTTGTCTCATTGTCTCATACTCTTGCACTCTTTCCATATTCGTCTTATTCGCATCCCGTCTTTTCTTGAACATACTATAAAAATGCACACGACCACTCAAAACTTTACCTTCTTATACACTGATTTATGAAACAGTAACAGTGAAACTGATACAAACTGACCAGAGAACTAGTACGTATGAAAAGGGCCAGGCTTCAGCAAACTAGAATAACGCAATATATTATCTAGCACACACACACGTATGAAAGATGCTCTGTACAATGCGTATCTTTTCCTTTCTACCCTTTGAAGTACATTTTACATATATACACTCAGCCCCAGCAAAGGCATGAAGAGCTCTAGGTCAGAAATTACTTGGTAAGATAGATGTACGCCTTAGAAAGATCACACAGCTGTCCTTATCATTGTTACTTACATGGGTATGGCATGAACATATCCTGGGGTTGTTCTTATAGCTACCACTCCATCTTTGTCACAAGAAATAGAAGCTATACAGCAAAAACCGTCTCAACCTTCTCAATGGTGAGCATCTACATGTTATCTACTTTTCTTTTTACAATGCGCCAGCGCTACGAATGTGCTGTAGCAGCTAGAGAGGTGAAGCAACATACATACATACACTGCTTCTGGGCTACAATATCTAAATGTTTCCAGAAAAAAGAACGCTAGCTTGTCTTTCTGTCCATTTGACGCACTAGCATTGTAGACCTTGTCTGGCATCGATATTCCCATGGCCAGTAATTTAGAACTGGCGTGTCCAAAAACCTGTTTTCAATCGATCCAGATCCTCTTAATTATCTGTGCGTGAAACGCAAACAGGAAGATTTTCATATACAGCAGAGTTCTAGAGCCAGCTTTGGAATGAAAGACACGTCCGTACCCTCTGCCTTTCCAAAAGGGCATGCATTTACTAACTCCACTGGGACCCATTCGGGTAGAAGGGGATTTGATAACAGCTACAATGCAGTTCAAGTGATCTAGCAGACGTTAGACTGGATCAGAAAATGTCCGAATGGGAGCCTATGCGGCCCAATGCTTGATCCCTTTGTGAAATTACTCCGTAACCAAACGTGGCAATCTTAATGTAAAGAAAAGCCCGCCGAGAGATTTGTTTCGCTGCTCGCTCAGGCATCGGATTTGTCTTGATATGAAAGTTCCGGCTGCGTAGTCTGGGATTGCAGCAATAAGCCTTCGCGACATGCTATGCACAAATTTTGTTACGCCATGGAAATATACGTGACAGCTTATTGCTTTTCACCGCTTCTGATCAGACGAATATTTACCATACCATGGAGCGAGCATGATAAAAGCCTTAATAATTTCGAATTAACATCTCTCAGATCTTACGGTTGCATAACACACTGGCATGTGTACTGCGCATCAGAGACAGTCATATTGGTGAGAAACATATAGTAACTTGAATGATCTAGAGCTAGAAATACAAATCAATATGAATTACAAAAAATATTGTGAAATATTTGCGTATAAGCAATAACTCTTTAGATATATAGATACACACATTTGTGAAGTTCACACACAAATAAAAATAATCATGCCTAAACTCTGTACTTTTTCTGACATTAAGTTGAACTGCGTCACCATATAAACATTTCGTGTACAGGCAATGAAGTACAAGTCGCACACAACAAGGAGACTAGATCATGCAACAATGTTCGAAAAAGTGGCATATAAATCTTGACAAGACTCATTATAAAACGGAAAGACAGCTTGAATTTGTTTTACCCTTATTGAAGAAGTACCAGTGTAGCCTTAGGCGCTACTAATCTAACTATAAATTTTCGTTGTGCATCGTGAGTATGGATATTTTTAGAGTCCAAAGGATCAGTTACACCAATTAAAGCTGAAATATCTGGTTGAACATCTTTTGGTGTGCTCATCTGTTGTAGCAGTTATTTTTCATTGTATTATAGCTTGTCTACCGAAGCATATCCGACGATTTTACTACGTGTATTATCGGTTATTGGCAGAATGTACATGCTGAAGTTTTGTGTATTGTCCTATTAGTTCAAGCTATTACCGTTATTAGTAAAACCCCTTTGTAGAGTTGTGAATAGAGATACGTGACAGGTTTTCCTCAAACACGGTATCATAATTACAATCTACAGACTGTTATAGCTTTAACTGGTACAATAACGGAGGTATACAACTGTAAAATGGTACATTTGACAACAAATTGGCAGTACTTTGGCAGTCATACAGAGAGTACATGATAGCTCTCATATACACTTGCTACAATTTGCAGCACCTGTATTGTGTTTTACGTTTTACCCATCGGCGATAACGGTGTTATTTTTAAGTCTTGAGTTTCTTAGTATCTATACTACACTCCTTTCGTTGCTGGAACAATTATCATTACAGTAGAAACTGGCCAATAAGTTCAATGATTTGACATCAGGAGTTATATAATTAGCAGGCCATTAAGTGACACAATAGACTGTTTTGGCCCATACATGCAGATTTACACGGTGGTTTATAGCATAAATGACCTCAGCTGCTCAGGACAGCAGTTTACAAGCCTTGGATATTAACGACTCCCGACTGATTCTACGGTTACCTGTGTGTAACTTTATGGCCGGCTAACGCCTCTGGCAAATTCTTCAGCCTATTTTGTAAATTTATACTATCTTTCCAGCAACACAGGAAGTCCAGTAGAGACTAACGTACTTATCTACTGACTTTACTTGTCTTATTACTATCAGTAGCAATGCAATGTCGAGTAGCTCTAGGATGGACCTATTGGTACTACAATCATCTACGTTGATAACGTCTTCTGTATACCACATTTGGGAAATCTCTTCCTCGTCCTTTCGTATATACACACTCATGAAAAAGATGGTGTCAGAAAGTGGGATTGGGATTGCACAAGGGGACATTTACATACATACTTCCACATGAAAATCACCGGAGCATTTCTAGACGCTGTTGCCGACGTGAGTCCATATCTTCCTTTTACCGTTGCTCGATGTCGAGTCGTTCGGGATGTGTTTGATCTCGATTCTTTCTACTTCTTCCAAAACAATCTTGTCGTTCTTCTGAAAGAAAATACATCAAGTACTTTCAATTGGTACATTGTCATTTCCAGTATTATCTTACAAAACAATAGTTTCATTATTTCAAGTAGTTCTTCGTATCATTCACAAATACTGTTTAAATGTATAAGTATTACTTAATGTATTACTTGTGTGACCTTATTCGTAGTAATGTACTTTGAGGTTTGGATTATAAACTTGTAATGTTTCTTCTAAATATTGACAAATAAAAATACGAGACATTCATTGGGTCTATTTGGGAATGAAACAAGTTTGAACTGTAATTTCCAACACACCAAATTGTCGACTGTACAACTCCAGCCTTTGTCAAGGAATAATCCGTGACGTCACACAGATAACACACGTGACTCCGTGAGCAGTGGATCATAAGTTGCAGAAAGTCTGTGGCGCCCAACGCCTCTGTTGAGGATGGTTGTAATGCATGCCCTGATAGTAGATGGCATTTTAGAGTCGAAAATTTTGGTAAGTCCAATTTATTGTGTTGGAAATTGCAGTTTAAACTTGTTTCATATTAATTACTTCTGCCAACACACATAAACTTGTAAGAATGTCAGAAATGGTAAACGTACGGGTTTGGGACGTTTTAGCTTCCCCTCACCCCGCAGCAGCCACCAGATGATCTCTATGAGGACGATGACGATAGAAATGCCGACTCCCAGCGCGAGCACATAGAACACCCCTGCTACACTGTTCAGCCCCAACTCGCTAGCCTTGCTCTGCTGGGAGGAGGATTCGGCAGGACAGTTTGCGTTCTCTGTCGGCCACCATTTTCCCTTTAACTCGTCCATCTTACCAGACTCCTGCATTTTCAGTATGCTAGACAACACAAAGAAACAGGAAAAGTAATGATGAAGAAGAGAAGAAAGGGAAACTATAAACCTGTTTTGCTTCCATGAACACTTTACGAAACTCAGGGAGACGATGAGGGAGCTTACATAAAATGCAATGCTTGTAGAAAATATTTGTCACAATAGTAGTATGGTAAGAGTTACTTCGACATTTTCTTTTACTGGACATTGTAAGAATATTGGACACTGAATTACTGTAATAGTACTATTTCCTGGAAGGGGCGAAAGATGCTATTTACACGATTCATAACCCTTTACTTTAATATAGGGGTGGTATAGCCGTACGCTATTGTAAAAACATGATGGTAATCACATGATCATGTTAGCTGATACTGCTTTAGGCCCCATTTTCCCTTGATGTGGTCATCATATATATTCACTAGTGCTTCGAATAAATCAATTACTTAATATATGATTTACCTGATAGATAACTGGTCTCTTAAGCTCATGCCTTCTTGTAGCGCAATCCCGTACCCTTTCATATTGAACGGTCTTCCAATGGTGGTATAGTCACAGTTAGTCAGCTTCAGATAGTCCAAGGAAGGGTTTTCCCAAATAAAAGCATAGTCCTCCGACAAGACCTTAGCGTACCCATCTTCAACTGTCGTTGCGAATGTGTTGGAGTTGTTCATGAAATCCCACATCCGTTCGTACACGCCTATACTGGAGGCCTTGAAGAACGTGTAGAGACTACTGTCCTCCACTGTCCCGTAGGGCATGGATGTTTGGGCAGCGAGGTCATCGACTGATCGGACGGGGGTGTCCATCCGTGTCACCGTGAGGAAAGCCGCGAGGTTGGCGGTGTAGGTGGAGATCATAATGAGGGTGAAGAACCACCAGAAGCCGCTCAACATGCGGCCTGACGATGCACGGGGGTTAGCTTCACCTCCTAATAAACACAAGTGTGTATATTTAGATTAAAAAAGGTATATGTTTCTTACCCCTTTTCTGACCATAGGGGAAGTATGCATTACATGGATGTGATGAAAAAAAATGTAACAAAACCTATGCATTGAAATGGGTCGAAAATACCCAATGACCACAGGTTTTATTCAAAATATTATTGAAGTAGGCACCTTTTTATAATGGATTGTACACTATGCAATGATAAGCGCCAATTGCTATTCACTTTTCTTTCCGCTTGTTCAAATGATGTCAATACATTGAGCTTTAGATAAATTCAGTTACATTCTCAGGGGAGATAAAGAATGGAGCGTTCAAATAGTGAAATACCTTAAGGAATATGTGTAAGTTTTAGAAACTTCATGTATAAACTTCATGTTAGAGAATAGTTAAACCTTTATTGATATATATTCTGTAAGTAGTCTGCAGCTTACACATGGATATATTCTGTACGTAGGGTGACTTTATCCATACATGTATTTAGCTTAGTTAGATATTTAGTTGTAGTAGACCATACTAAAGTCCCTGTGCCTTTTGTTGAGTAAATAAAGAATCTCATAATTTCACTGCCTCCATTTCATGGAAACAGCCGTTGAAATATCTGTGGGTTTCTCTACGTACCTTGTTGAACTAGAGACCCATACGCAAACCACACGCTATTCGACAGGTTGAAGGCGTCTGCATCTGGCTCGTCTGTACCAAAAGAGCTGTAGGGGCTGATCCTGTTCAGGATGTACAGGATAAAACCTACTATGAGGATGGATCCAAGGATGCACGCCCAGACTTGGAAGTTGAATGGCTCCAGGAAGGCAAACACGTTGTATTTCTGAAAGGAAAAGACATCAAAGGGGAAAATTGAAGTCTCGAAGTAAGTTTTAAACCCCAAATTCAAGAAAATCATAACATAATAACATCATACTGCATCGTTCCTGAAAGAAGAATAGGCAACTAGGTCTAGGGTCACAATATTTGAGTTTTCTAATTCAATGTTGATGTCATTCAAATGACGGCAGAAAACTCAAGCAAACACGTCACCTGGAAGAAATATTGACAAAAAGGCTCACAAAACTTTCCAGGATAACTCAATCAACAATGTTCAAATCTCAGTAGAAACGTATGAAAAGTTATAAGACATATAAACAAACAAACTCATGGAAGGATTTTTGCTTTTACAAGAAATGTCAAAATGGCACAAATCTACATACGCATGGGGTCAGTTTTGACATACGTCGGTTAAAAGACTTGGCTTAAAAGGATGTGGAGCTTCAGGTACAGTTCATGATTTGTTACCTGTTCTGGCTTCTTGAGGAGAATCGTTGCACCGTAGTCCATATACGGCTTGGTAAAGTCCACGACATCTTCTCTCTCCGATGTTATCGTTAGGGCAGAGACTGCAATGTGTGCTCTCTATAGGGGGAAAATAGTCGGTTGTCATTCAAACCTATGTCATTTAGGGCCCATACTCTAGTTTGTCAGTTAAAACAGACATAGTCGCATTTTTTCCTGATTTGGTATCTTTCAAAATATTCTTTATATTCTCTATTGTAAGTGCCTTTCCTAAGGGCACAAGATCGGTGGCATGTCAGGACTCGAACTCGGGAACTCTTGGTTCTGAGTCGAGTACTCAAGTAACGCCATGCGACTCCACAATACGTATTGAAATGTTTGTACCTTTTGTACGAGCTGCCCCACCATCCCGTTCCATTCTCCCGTGTCATCGTTCTTGGCTCCGTACTTCTGGTCGGGCGTTTCGAAAATGGTGTAGCTGGTACATGAAGAAAAAATGTCTGTGTCATATTTTCACAAATCATCAAGATGCACACGTCGATTGTTGTAATTGTAATCTGCTAGTTCCTGTGTTTGGACATAATAATAATATAATGCATTTTCTTCTCTAAAAGAATCTTTGTCCTTGGTGTGTGTGAACAGAAAAATGTTTAATATAAAATGTTTACCGTATAGTTATTTCATATATTTATCTTTCGAACCATTGTTGAAAACGTAATTAAAGACTAGTTGGAAAGGTCAACATTCAACTTCCTCCTTTTAACAAGAACTCACTAAAATGCCATTTGAAAACGCAAGGGTGTCGTAAAAGTGATAGCCTTCACCTGAACTTTAACTGCGTCTTCAGTTCGTTGAGCACATCGATGAGGAACCCCCTAAATGCTGGTGGCCCGTCTTCTGTGATGTCCTTGAATATAAAAGGTTTCTCCTGCAGAAACGGAAAGTAACATTAATCCCATAGGTCACGTCCATACCCATTCTCACCTTCCCTTCAGTAATCCTTTATGCCCTATGGCGGTTCCAGTTGGAATATAGAATGATATGAAAATAATTTTGTATGGTTTTGAATAGAATATATGGAACTTGATAATTTGGATTTCAATATGTTGTTATGTTCTCGTAACAATGGTTATATGTGACAATGATTACATATCCTATACAAAAAACAGAGATCATTGATAGCGAGCGAGAATGAAAGGGACGTCACATTTAACGTTAACGTCAAATGAAAGTAAAGAAAACAGTTTCCCTGGGGAAATTAGTCTGCCTGAAAATATTTCTTTAGGGAAATTACATCGGAATTAGAGTGGGTGTAGATACGTAGTATTTTGCAAAGTAGCGCTTTGACCGCAGTGGAATTATTGTCCACTTTTCAGTAAGAATTGAATTGGCAATTTCCACTTGTTTGGCCTTCTAATACCCGTTTCAAATGAAGGTCTGCAGTAAAGTACTAGCATAATGGGCTTTGTGATTGAGTCGGAAAATCATTTTGTTATGTTAAGTTATGTCAATAGTGTTTAGTATCAATTCAGAGTCTGGTTTTCAAGATTTAATGCTAATTACCAAAACGCATGTTATATAACACGTAGTAATTAATAATTAATCATTTTTGAATTATCAAAAAAATGTTACGCGACAATACTAGGAATGCACTAGGCAGCAAGTATGCTGATAGCGTGCACACCTGCACAAAATGAACAACCACAAACATTTGACATGTTTGAATATGGCATTTTCTCTTCTTATAAAGAATAATGACTTGGCCCACCGCAAGAGTTACCACCGTAAGAGTGGTGTTCTCAAAGCTGTGGATCTCCCTGGTAAATGCCGGCTCTGTCAGATTCAGGCCTCCTTCTACGTTCCAGGTCCCGATCTATCATAAAGATTTACGGACAAAAAAGACAAGTTAGTCCGGCTCGTAACCATACGTCTCAATAACAAGCTGTATTTACGATTAACAATTGCCGGTAGATCACACTTTGTTGGTGAATGTTGCAGACAGGTCGATACGTCTGGTGTGTGTGGGATTGGGAGGTGGAAACAAAATGTAGAGTGCGGCGATCGATCAGACAGGTTGTTAGAGGAAAGCGTTTTTGAATTGCTCCTGCGGACACGGTTTTGTGAGTTTAATTGATTCTGGTATTGGCTAGAGACAGCATCTCTTGTATTCTCTGTCTATTCTGTCAACTTGTGATTCCCCAGAGTCAAGAAAGAATTATATCAGCTCCATATTTGAGAAACAGCGATTTTCATATTTCATAATTATTGCGCTATGTTGTATGTCAGTATCGCTGAAAATTGCATCGTATTTTAAAAAAATCTTGAAGTGGTTGTGAACTTGTGGCATGGAAACTAATCTTATTTATTGTATGTAGTACAGCCTATCAAGATTTATTGGGTTTGTGGCTTGTTTCGTCGCCAGGTGGATTAATGCGATAGCAATCCCGTAGTTGGACCAGTTGTAGAACGATATCAGTGGCAGCCATGCTAACTAGTCTCGTTCATCAACGTCGTTCAAAAGACATAATGTCATTGGAGGCCACGACCCTTAAAGCCGGTAACGAATGTGAGGGACTATGTGTAGTGGGGTGTATTATGTACCAACCGATTCGATTCTACAATCGATGTATCAGAGGGAAGTAGTTATTCTTTCCCCCCGAGAAGAAGATAAAATTGAATTTGCTTTCTCCTGCAAGAGCTTAAAAGTTTCTAGTCAGCCTGGAGCTGACGTCCAATGAGTCGATTTCAAACATTTGAGTGTTGCTCCATAATAGCTATTTACTCTCCCGTGTACACAAAAAATAGGTTGGAAAACCACACATTACAATGCTGTAAAATGTAAATCAGGATAAATAACGTTATTTTTACATTAAAACTCTAATAATGGAGAAATTGTATCCTCAGATGTAGCTCTTTTGTATACGTAGGTAGTATGTATTTTGCAAACCAAGTTAACCTCACTAAGACAGAAGTAAGACAAAGTACACAGTGAATATAATAAAACTTACCGCCCAGAATTTAGTGATATTCTCGTCGTTGGTTGTCAAACTTAGAATCTCCATTTCGGCATTGTCGTTGTACCCTTCACTGTTGAAGTGTAGTGGTCCATTGAGTCCTGACATGTTGTTCTAATGCAAACATCAGATATCAGAAAGTTTTACAGTTTAGAGCTTTAATTTTGGTGCATATGGTTTGTAAATATAACTATTTTATCTCGTCTAATGCATTACTGACATATTTATTAACATCATATATTATTTAAAGTAGCTCTTCGCTAAACATGTTTGAATTGTGCAAACAACATGTTAAGGTTTCAGATCTTCTGAATGATACAGTATTGTCTGTGGAATTGTTGTCTGTAACTACCAACCACACACCTCAAACGAAGAAGTTAAGCAGCGAGTCAAGTCACTGGCAGGCCCTCTCCCCAGTTTCCTGTCACTGGTAAAGAAGAGGAAGCTGCAGTGGTTTGGGCACGTAACTAGAGCGAAGGGCACCTTAGCTCACACTACACTGCAAGGGAAGGCGGAGGGTGGACGAATGAGGGGGCGCCCTCGAAGGACCTGGACTAGTGACCTTAAGGAATGGACAGGACATCCCATGAGTCACCTGACAAGTCTGGCTGAGAACCGCCCTGGGTGGATAACTCTTGTGGACAGTTTAGTTGCCCCGACGGCAGGACAGACTGCTATGGGACCGGTGAGGTGAGGTGAACTACCAACAATCGTTTTGAAAAAAAATATAGTTGTACTGTTCTGATAAGTGTAACTTTCTTGTTTTATTTTGGGCCCGAGATTAAAATATGTAGGCATTAAAATCATACATGGTATAAAAGTCTTGCTCTAGGTGTTCGTCTTTCTTAACTTTTGTCTAGACAACATGACGCCTCTATTCATTTTCATTCGCCATGGGGATGCGATAATGGTCTTTATTTTCGTATGTTGCAATCAGACTGTATTAGTTTTTGTGGGCAATGATGGAATATTATTAAAGCTGCATTATGTAACATTTGGACGTTACAAAAAAGTAATATATAAATTTTCTTGTAATTTCTTCACAATGTAAGTTGAATCAACCATTGCAAATAAGTTCCATTCAGGAAATGGCGTTGCCAAGATATGATAGCTTACGAGTGTGTTTAAAAGCTTGAAAGACGGCTGTCAGCCATGTTTGTTTACATCCTGGTAGTTTGCAGTGGTACCACAAACTGAGTGGACCTCCTCATGCGGGGTATTTTAGTGCCAGCCATGAATGTCAGAAGAGTGATAATTGCACGAATATGTTGAAAAGTGGAAGCAAATCACAATGGTTTTTATTATACAATATTTCAATTTTTGTTGCAAAATGTTACATAATGCCCCTTTAAGATGTGGCTTAAATCGCTTCATCTTCACCTACCTTGCGCAGAGAGCCAAGCAGATTTTTGCCACCCAACCACGGAGTTGGCTTGTGACAGATTAATGGCGTGGCGGCTGTCCAGTTCCTCTCTTTGATGAGAATGTCAAAGGTCCTGGCCAGAGCCCAAACTGCGTCGTAGCTGTATGCAGCCGATAGCTAAGGGAGAAAGATTAGGTGAAGTATACGCCAAAAACAGTAACACAAGCAACTGGATATGATTTTGGAAACGGTCAGACGTTTCAGCCAGCATCCACTACCTTTCGTCAGTGACACTAAGAGACTACAGGAGAAATGTACGCTTATAAACACGAACTATTGATTGATTTGCAAATAAGTTAAGACAATTTTCATCAATAGTTCGTGCTTATAAACCAGCATTTCTCCTGTAGTCTCTTAGTGTCGCAGACGAAAGGTAGTGAATGCTACCTGAAACGTCTGTCCGCTTTAAAAATCATATCCAGTTGCTTCTTTTTTCCGTATCTTATTACCTGTATGTCTAACCTTCACCGACGTAGATAAACTATATATTATTAAAAAATTGTTGACCAATAGTGTCCAATAAATATATGATTTTTGGACTTTACATGGATTTTTAGATTGTAGAAAACACACAAACACACATTTATGGGAGTGATTGTTTTAAAATAACACCATTGAGTAAAGGTCCTTGACAGTCTTTCTAACATTGCTATGGTTTTCTATTAGACTTTATATTTCAATATTGTATTAGGCCGCAACGAATTAAAAGCTAAACGTAAACTCCCAGGCGTAGTAACTGCCGTCTGAGATATGGTGATCAAAGTAATAAAGCTGGATATCAGGCTCATTTATGGCCTCCTATATCTCTTTTATGCTCCATAAAAACATGAGACCGACCTTTGCACTTATCAAAACCTATCTTTTAAGAAAGCGCCCTGGCAATTCCCACCGACACTATAAAAGTTTTTATTGCCACATTTTTATATAAGTATGTCATATTTCGAAGTGGGGGTCAGGTATTTAGTGGTAAAGTGGAAGACCTGTCCAATCTTGAGGATTAACGCAATTGATTTGTTTGGCCAGGGAAAAATAACTCGTGGTTTTACATGCTAGTAAGCTAAACTTTCGTTCTACCTGCTTCCAATCGTTCATCTTGTAGCAAACATATTGTTGTTAAAATTTGTATGTGTTTCTGAGTTATACTGTGCATTTTGTATATGAATTATGGACGCAATTCAGCCTTGAGGTGCAATGTTTATGATCTATCAATAAACCATTTTTGATTGATTGATTTTTGATACTGTCAGGATGAATCATACCGAGTAATCTCACATTAACTTGTGATAACTAGTATAGTAATTAATAACTACTATTTATGACAGAAACCAAAAGATTCTATTAACTTATTTTGAGTATGTCGTCATCTTCTTTTGTCGTTAAATGCAATTAATAAATAAATACAAATACCTGGTACATTAAAAACGGGGATTCGACTACCTACACATTTTTTGTGTGTTTAGAACTATCTTCTGTTTCTCAAATACATTTTTTGACCTCTCTTGAAAGGTTATTACTTTACTGGCGGTTTAAGGTCACTTTGGTCATATCATATAAATCAAGTAAAGGCATTATATCCTCTAGAGTATGGCTAAATGTATTTAGTTGAAGTAAATCGTTATTGAATGACATAAATGGATAGAGGTTCTCCAAATAAAAGCACCCCTGGGAAAAGACAGTACAGTAACTGTTTATTTTTTCTTAACCTATATTTATAGTATCTACAGAGTCTGAAGTAATTAACAATGCTGTATGTTAATTAACTGCATCAGATCTCGAATATTTCAGCAATATATTACATAACCAGAAATAAGTATCATTACCTACGTTTGACTGTTTTAAATTCATCACTGGGAGTTAAAACTGTTCCCCAAACAGAAGATTACGTTCTTGTCACAGCCACCCAATATTCCTGGCATGGTATTTCAGGCGAGATTGATTACTTCTGGGAGCTGGCCTTTCGCCTATTTTGAGTTTCCAATTTGAAGAACAAGTGCAGAAGCTTGACACTGTGACCGATTGCAGACGTTCCCTGGATAGTTGATTGCAATTCATCAAATCTGACCTGTTTTAGTCCATCGGATATCTACTTGAAAGCTCGGCGGAACAATTTCAGGTCTCCATAGTATAGTTTCTATCATGATCAAAGTTCGCCTGATGTTTCCACCACTCAGTCTGCTTCCCACTGTGCCCCGTAGACTGCTTTGTTTTTCAACATTAAGCTATGCCCTAATCAGAATACTCAATCTGTGAAAGAGTTATTAATGGTATGGCTCAGGTATGCATTCAGATAACATTAATACGTTTTTCTTTCATTAAGCTAATGTAAATTCGATTTTAATTCAGTGTACATATACACACTGTGAAAACGAATAGTCATCTTGTTTCTTGTATCAAGTATGGTTGGGAGGTTGATTGAAAGTGTATCTGCTGCATAAGCCACACTGCACTGGCTTAATTTTATGGATGACATCCCCTAAGGACCCCGAAACTAGTGCGCGCGGGAAATAAAAAATTCTAGTCAGAAAAAATGCTGCTAACCCACAGGAATACAAAGCTGGTATTGTGAAGTTGCGGTAGTGCACTGTACTGATCATGAGTTATTGAGTTCCGTGGATCGTCGGCAGCCAAGCTGACATCCTCCGTACTTCCCTATTGGTCACTAGCTAACCATGGACTATGGTTGATGGCAACCAGGCTAGAGCCTCGGAGGAGGTGATTCTTTTTTTCTTGAAAACAGACGAAAATCAATGTGCGCGCGGATTTCACCCATAAAATCAAATCAGTGTTGCCTTATCTTAGCAATGCCTAGCGTGTCACATCAAAAGGAAAACCCAGACGGACCTACTATTACCTTTCTTCAGTAGTGACGCACTGAACAAAAAACTATGTACGTCATATAGTAACAGAACAAAGGGCCAGTTTCTAAGTAATCACGACTACCAAAGGTTGTTCCCTACCATCTAGCATTACTGGGCTTATGTGAGCGTACCTGATAGAGTACATTTGATGGAACAATTTGTGTGGATATTGCTCCCACTGCTTTACCATGAGGTAGTAAGCAAGCTATCTCGGATTAAGGCCTTGTGTGAGACTGTAATATCAGTTTGCCATACCGTTCACTCCGTAAGATAAAATAAATGGATGAATAAACCTACAGCAATTGCTGTACCAGAGTAACCCTCTCAGAATACACATACATGTAGTGAATACTAGGAATTTAACCCAACCGGATTATCCATTCTTGATCACCAGGCACCTTAATCTACGTTTGTGGATTACTTACTGTAGAGACGGTAATAAATCACAGCAATGTATTAAAACAGGATGTCGTAAACCAGTTCCAACGCTAATCGCATGTAAATTGATTTTCTGACAACCATAATCAATATGGTTGATGTAGTAAAAATATCCGGCGTCTCGGCCTATAGGGATGTACTTCAACGGAAGGAAGATGCCAGTAATATTACATTACTCTCAAAACAAATCAGGTATCAATAAAGAGGACTGTATTAGAAGTCATGCTGCATTCTATTGTATTAGGGGGCAATCTTCTACTGAAATTGGGTGCTTCATTGAGTGAGATGGAAAATGCACTCAGTTGAAGCAATGTTTATTAGGGTAGCAGATAGGCTACTCCGAGGAGATTGGAAATGCAAAAAGTTTTGAGATGAAGAACCCTGTGAACAAAGTGCTTCCTGCGACACTTTGATAAATGCGTTATTCTACACGACCGCTACACATGTACTCTCTTCAAGGTGAAATGCTTTAGCATTAATGATCTGAAGACAGAAAAGCAAAGAAGGTCAACAGAAATATCACGCTATCAGGGATATAAATAGTAAAACAATATGGTGTAGACGGCCTGCAGGAATTTAGTATCGTGCTGTTTTAACAGTCTGAGAAAACCTACATTAGGTATCTGAAGACCGAAAAGCAAAGGAGGTTAACAGAAATATCACCCTATCTGGGTAGTCTGATGTAGAGGGATATAAATAGTAAAACAATCTGGCGTAGACGTCCTGGAAATTCGTATCGTGCTATTTTAACAGTCTGAGTAAACCTACATTAGGCATCGATCTAGTATCGAATTTAACCCATCGTCAGTCAAGAGGTAAAATGAAGGTACGTGAGCAAACTGACACTTCCCGAAAAGAGACTTCATTTGAATCAAAATTAGTTAATGCCTTCGCCTACATGTAGGACCAGGTCGATGTGTGCGTCAACGACCTCTGACGAAAGGTCATTGACACTCTTTTTTGTGATTTTTTAGATTTCAACTAAATTTGAATTAAAACTAGGAATATTTAGATACCGTGCTTTTATCCTTGTTTGTATTATTTTACATCTATCACATCATGGCTTAATCTAATGTGTGCATGTTTTATTAATGTAGCAGAAGTCCTCGACACCATATTTGTCTTCTGTGTTACTGTATGTACTCGTAATATGTATCAATTTTGTTTCTATATAAATCAATGCACACATCCAGATATCCTTGTGGCACGTTGTCAAACTTCGTAGACATGTGACATTATATGACGCGTGCACTGACGTCTATGGTCCCTTAGATATGAAAAGGTTGTTTTCAACAGAACCTTTTGTATCGAAAATATGCTTAAGGAAAGTTCAAAAGGACGACATTTGGCATACAAAGCTTGAACCTCAGACACATTAAATGAGAAACAATGAACTTTAGGTTGTATTGTGCCGCATCACTACAATTCCTTTTTATTACGAACCAATACTGGTTTTACAAAACGTTCAAAGGTGAGTATAACTACCCATTTGTATAATCAAATTTAGTATAAGATATGTGACGCTTTAGTTCACGTAGTTTATATGGCCATATTCAGTAAAAAAAGGCGCATAGCCTTTTTTTAACATTTTTACCTATAGTTTACGATTTTAGCCCATCTAGATGTAAGGTTGCTGAGATATGGAAATTAGTCATAGACAACTGAAATTGGTGTGAAACAATAACGCTACTGTAGATGACTCACCGGAAAGTCTTGTAATGTTGGGAGGATAAAGTTGAGAGAGTATCCAGGATGCATTTTCTGAAGGTGCGCCAAGAAGTCATTTAAGTGTCCGCCTACTGTTGATATTCTCTTCCTGATACCTGTGATCATGCCAGTCGTGATATTGATGCTGTCTAAATGTCGATCACTTATTTCCTGGGTGGTGTGGGGTGGAAAATGTATGTTAGTATTTTATTCCTTGTATTGGTTTTCGCGGAGGCATTTGAAACAAAAACATTTGTATTTGATGTACATATTGACTACATAGTAATGATGTGATGGTATCCGCTTATTGAACTAGGTATTTGATTTTGTGAAACCATTCTTAACGTAAAATCAAATCCAGTAGAGCTTTCTTTTGAGAAGTAATATGTGTTCCCTGCGATTTGGAATCCAGTTTAAACTTGCAACACTGAGTTTGAGACCGGTTGATTCAGAGCAAACAGTGAAGTCCAGTGAGTATTTGTGCAGTGATCCGACTGGTGATCCAGCTTCCATTATAGGATACCGATTAGTCGTACTCGTAAAAGTAATGATGGGCTCCTTTGAACATCTAAGCATACCTTGTAGCCCTTTCAGCTATAATCCGTGTATTATGATGGAATGATGGACTCAATGCCTGATGTGTGTCTGCGTACATATACTATTTGTCATTCCCTTGATCACATGGTTTTACGTTGAATAGAATATTACATTGAAATAGGTCTAATAAAATACAACAATGATATAATTCGTGTTACTCTTGAACTTACCTCATTTGCAATCACCCAGAGATACTGGTTCCCAACCATGTGCATCTCATTTGCCTGGATGAAATGACAAATAAATGTTAATGATTGGACACTGCACGTTGTAACAATGTATGTTGGTTGGCAATCTATAAAGCTAACCCTTTTAATGTACGATCCTGTTTGCTCACCGACTAGCTCTTGGTATAACCTCTTAGATTTCTAGATGGTAGATTCCTTTCAACGGAAAATTTGGTACACAATACTGAGACATATTGCTCAGATATTTCTTATAGAAAATGAGGATTGTTGCAGAATCTCAGTACTAATAGTAATCATAGCCCATGACGAAAAAATACTGGTAAAGTATTGGACATGTGTATTGTAAATGAGCCGAGCTTGAAGAGGACTTAGACACTATTAGTCGTATTTATTACAGCATTCTTTTTTATATGAGCGAGTATGCATTTCGAATTCCAGTACTTTGAACGTAGGAGTTATAAACAAATTAAAGGTTCCCTTATATCATATGAAATTGTGTGATGTTTAAATAATGAAACAAGAAAAGATATTCTCATCCTCTGAGAACCAATACGTAAGAGGCTATGCCTTTCAAGGCAGTGAATGCGTATCACGTCTGTGTAGTGACTGCTAATTGGTTAAGCCTTTATTATGACCTTTGATTACCGGGCTCACTTCTGTGGAAATACGACGGCCAGCGTTTTACCGTCAACGTTTATTATTTCAAAAACACTAAAGACGGATTGTAACGTACTTTACAGACAAATACAAAGACTAACAGCGACAGTTTTGACATTTGTAAAGCTGGTAGCAGCTAATATTTCAAGGCAACGCGCAATATAGTTTTGAATGTGAAGATGGAGGGTGAGATTTATGACGAAAGTTAGTTGAGAAGTGTTGACTAGTGAAATGTCGGAAACTGGATTGAAAACTTCTGAATACTGCTGGCAGATTAGACGAGACTGCTTGGGGAAGTCAATGGTTTAAATTCATTTATAACAGCCTCCAGTTTAATCCCAGACTTCCAGTTTAATTTCAAACTTCCGCTTTAATTTTAAACTGTTTCTCATATCCCAGCAACCGTACAAAATGTACATCTAGATACTAATATCGTAAATTATATTTTAAATAATGTAAGAAATATATAGCACCCATCGAGGACCTACCCTTGGGATTAACCCAATTCTCCAGCAAGAGTTCTGGGAACTGGATCCAAAATTCTGTGCAGAATTCTTCAGGATTGGGTTTATCCCCACGGGGTCCTCGATGACTGCTACGTCTACATATTTCTTACATCACTTTTACCTATAATTTACGATATTACCTCATCTAGATGTAACGTTCCTGAGGTATGGAATTAGTCCAGAATGAAACAAATGTCTATTTTAAAGGATACGCAGTTAACAGCTAATAACTACAGTCGTAGCTTAAATCTACGGTAAAAGGAAATATAATCAATTCCATACCTGGTACAAAACTTCAACTGTTGTTTCCGGTGAACATAATACCACCACGTTGTTGTATCTGAAGTTTCTTTCATCGATGGACTTCAGTTTCTTCCGGAAATATTTGCTGTTCAGTTCATCTTTTGAAGATACTCTCAGTATCAGCATGTCCCATGAGTGAGTCGTTCCCTCAATGATTAACGTTTGCAATCTTTCAAAATCTAAAGAAGCAAGAATAAAGAAATTTACTTAAAAATACCAAACATTTTCAATCGATGTGCCAGTGTCATGGTATTTGTCATAGACTGGAGTGCGATATTTGTTGATTGGCTGGTACTACTCGGACAAGGGCGGCAATCTGACTGGTCATCAAGGAGCACAAAAACAATATAGATAAACAATATCAATTTTCACAAATGTAATGTAACTTTCATTTCATTTTTACCTTCGCCAAGAAGGTTATGTTTTCGTTGGCGTTCGTGTGTGTGTGTGTGTGTGTGTGTGTGTGTGTGTGTGTGTGTGTGTGAGCACGATAACTCAAGAAGGCTAAGATGGATTGCCTTGATACTTGGTAGGTGGGTAGGTCTTCATGAGACGTGGAACTGATTAGATTTTGGGCCCCCTAGCGGCTTGTTATGGTACTGCAGCTGAACTTCCGGTTTTGATATCTCGTGATCTAGACATGCTAGGGTGACGAAATTTGGATGCTAGGTAGCTCTTGTGCTGGGGAACAAGTGACGTGAGTTTGAGCCCCCTAGCGGCTTGCCCTGGAACTGCAGGGGCATTAGTTAAAAAATGTTTAAAGGCGGATAACTCAAGAACCGATTGATGGATCGTCGTGATTTTTGACATGTAGGTAGCTGAAGTGATGCTTGACATAATGATATTACAATTATGCAAATATCAATGTAATTTGCATAATTAATGAGGAAATTCTATAAATCAGCTACATTCCATGATAGGACTATTCAAGCTTGTGACATATGTAATTCAGAATGGCAGAAATACAGGCAGATATCGATTATGCAAATGAAGACTTCATTTGCATAATTAATGAGAAAATGTTATACTTACATAGTGGTAATGTCTGGAATTTCATACTTGGGATATTTGAAAGTTATGTGGGGTGAACATAATTAAACATAACTTATTCAAATAAGGACCTCATTTGCATAATTTATGAGGACATGCTATAATGGCATGCATTGATAAGATAAGACTGTCTTCTGGTGTAGAATATGATCAACAGTTATAATTGATGCAATATAGGATCCTACATGTATTTGCACAATCAGGGGGCTTCATCTATAATTTCTTAGTCATAAAGGCTAACATCATTTGGCGAAGGTATGAGATCGTGGAACTCTAGTTATTCATTTATCCAGAGTCAGCGATGCGTTCTCGTGTGTGCT